GAATGAGGAGGGAGAGAGTCAGCATGCCTGGAGCCTCGGGGCTGCAGTCCCAGCACACGGCAAGTGTCAGGGGCCCACCAACAGGCAGCTGCGGAGTCACCCTTGAGCCTAAGGAAGAGCGATTCTGCAGGTCCTTGGAGATGTGGCTTTGTGCTCAGTAGCTTTGCTTCTTCTAATCACTCTCAAGAGACAGGCTGCCAAATGCCAGTTATCCCTAAAGGGAGTGGGGAGTGCTGTGGGGCAAGGGCACTCCCCACCTCCCCTGTGATGTGTACATATGATGGTACCACCAGTGGCCAGCCTCAGAGGATGCCTGCTGCAAATCCCAGGTCAGACCCGCCGATCCTTCTCTTCCCACTGGATTTTCATCAAGAGTGTAGCCTACTGCTTCCTGACGCTGCTGTGGGCAGCGTGTCTGGGGACAGACTGCCATATTTGTGCAGTGTCTTCTCCTCTTTGATCCCCAGGCCCAGAAGCAGCACCAGCCCTTGCTCTGTTGGCAGAGGCTAGCCCTCGTTCCTCTGCAGTCTCTCCTTCCCCCTTCTCCCCCATCCTGCTGTTTATCTCCCTCTTTGGGGCCAATGCTATTTCATTCCTGGGAGGCAGGTGGCAGACAGGACAATGACAGCACTATTCTGATGTGTCCCAGCCACAGTGCCACAGTCCTCAGATGGCTAACCTCATCATGCTGCACTATTGAAAGACATGGTGAGGGACCAGCTTGGTTGGAGAAGGCCTTTTGTGAGCAGAAAAGCAAGTCTAGAGAGCAGGAAGTGTTGCCAGGGGCCTGGGGGCCTCCATCTGCCAGTGCTCAGTCTCACTCTTGGCCAGTTTATTCAATTAGCATGTATCAAGGAACTGAGCCTGGAAGAAGAACAGATGATGTGTGCGTGGAGTCCACATTCAGGAGGCAGAGTCAGGAAGTGAGCAATTACATAAGCGGCAAAAGTCAGCTCATCTGAAGTGTGAAATGAAGCACAGTGATGGACCAGCGAAGGGAGACAGACTGGGGTTGGAGAGGTGGCCTTCTGCAGAGACCGTGTTTTATTTGAGATTTGAGTGAAGAGAAGGAATCTACCAAGAAAGAAACTAGTGCGAATCTACTTTTATTCAATACAATCCTGGACACCCTCGCCTAAGCAATTAGGCAAGAAAAAAGAATAAATGGCATGCAGATTGGAGGAAGAAGTGAGGTATTGTCTGTTCTTAGATGATATGATCTTATTGACAGAAAACCTTTATTCCATTTATTAAAAACAAACAAACCCATTATAGCTAAGAAACAAATTCAGTAAAACTGCAGAACACAGAATCAACACACACACACACACACACACACACACACACACACACACACACCCCGAATTTTATAACCAAGCATTAACAGCTCACAAAGGAAATGAAGAAAATAATTCTGTTTATAAAACCGCCCACAAGAATAAAACACTGAAAATTTCTAAGGAGGGACAGGCTTATGCACTAAAAACAAAAAATGTTCCAAGAGAGGCTAAAGAGGACACACCAAACACAAGGACAGCCACGGTCTCTCTGGTGTGGGAGGACATAGCCTGACAAAGGTCACACTTCCCAAATTAGGTGACAGATTCAGCACATGCCCCACCAAAAATCCACTATGCATTTTGCAGAAATGAAAAACAAAATTCATACAGAATCTCATGAACCACCCACCCCAAACCAACCTTAAAAAGAAGAACAAAGCTGAAGGCCCCACGCTTCCCTGTTTTCAAGCTTACAACAAGGCTGCAGCTACACAAATAACCATGTTTGTCCTAAGCTTTGAGGGGGCAGGAAAACGTTGCCACATAAGAAAGTCACTTTAGGTCTCACAGGCTGTCCATGTCTAGAGATGGGCTCCGACTGGACTACAGGAGGATTTCTGTGTCAGATAAAAGGCAGCATGCCTCAGGAATGTTGAAACCAGTTCCCATCTGCCAAATGAGTCACTTCCCTTATCTCTGACAGAAGGACATATGGCTCCATTCACATATACCTGGGGTTGCAGATCAAAGCCCACGCGGCCCTCTAGGCTCCCTCAGTCCCTACTCACAAGTCCTCGGTGTACATTTCAAAGTCCACGTTAGCCTCCCCAGGCTTCCCTCCTCCAGGTACCATTTGTTCTCCTTATAAAGGCAAAGCTTGCCCCTGCTAATCTATTCCCCTCCTTTTATCTTCTAGCTCTCTACAAGGTTCTCAATGTTCTCTCTCTCTCTCTCTCTCTCTCTCTCTCTCTCTCTCTCTCTCTCTCTCCCTTCTGCTACCTCCCTCCCTTGCAGATAGCCCTGGCTGTGTCCAGTTTGCTTTCTCT